ATGTGAGATGAAGTCTTGCCATCCTTGCTTCTAAGGAGCATTCTGGCTGTACTTCTTCCAAAGTAGATTTGTTAGTTCTTCTGGCAGTCCATGGGATATTCAAGTTTCTTCACCAACACCATAATTCAAAGGCATCAGTTTTTCTTTGGTCTTCTTTATTCATTATCCAGCTTTTGTACGCATATGAGATGACTGAAAACACTATGGCTTGGGTCAGCTGCACCTCAGTCCTTAAAGAGATCTTTATTTTTGAACACTTCAAAGAGGTCTTTCACAGCAGATTTGCCCAATGCAATGTGTCATTTGATTTCTTGACTGGTGCTTCCATGGGCATTGATTGTGGATCCAAGTAAAATGAAATCCTTGACAATTTCAATATTTTCTCAAATGATTGAGTGGGACTATGCAAATAAGGTATATGGAACCCTAATGAAGGGATTGGTCAATTTTGCCATCCCCTAGGCTTAAAATGGAGCCCTGGTGGCACAGTGGTTAAGTGTTTGGCTGCTAACCAAAAGGTCAGCAGTTTGAATCCATCAGTTGTTCCCTGGAAACCCTAAGGGGCAGTTCTACTCTGTCCTATAGGGTCGCTATGATTCGGAATCGACTTGACGGCAATGGGGTTATTAAGGTGGGCCATATAATGTATTATTGAGATTGAGTACTTTGGCACAGAGTAGGCACTCAATAAATGTTTGTTGAATGACTGACCCCAACTTATGTTTATTCACTCATTTTTTTTTTGTTAAAGTGTTTTATTTGCTTTTTTTTTATTATTGTACTTTAGGTAAAGGTTTACAGAACTAGCTTCTCATTAAACAATTAGTACACATATTGTTTTGTGACATTGGTTACCAAACCCACAACATGTCAACGCTCTCCCCTTCTGGACCTTGGGTTCCCCATACTAGCTTTCCTGTCCCCTCCTGCCTTCTAGTCCTTGCCCCCAGGCTGGTGTGCCCCTTTAGTCTCATTTTGTTTTACGGGCCTGTCTAATCTTTGGCTGAAGGGTGAACCTCTGGAGTGACTTCATTACTGAGCTAAAAAAGTATCTGGGGGCCATACTGTCGAGGTTTCTCCAGTCTCTGTCAGGCCAGTAAGTCTGGTCTTTTTTTGACATTCTCTCATTTAACTTTTTTCAATGCCTAGTATGTCCAAGTCACTGTGGCTGGTACTCAAGATGAACAGGACCCATGACTGAGTAGGGGAGACAGACACAGCAAACAACTGAGTGTATTACAACGTGATGAAGGCTACTAGAGAGCTAAGTATAAGGTGTGATGGGAGCACAGTGGGGAAGAACAATTAACTATGACTGTTAAGAAGAGTTTCAGAAGGAGAGGAGCTTAGCTACAAAAGGCTTTTTGAAAGGAAGATTTCTTTTGAAGATGAATTGAAAGAAGTTAGGGAAGACATACCCTGATGGAAATTGAGAAAGGATAGTTAGGTGAAGAATTATAGCAAAAGTGTAAGGGTTAAAATTCAGAGCCACCACCCATCTGTCAGTTTGTTGTACTGTGGTGACTTGCATGTTGCTATGATGCTGGAAGCTATGCCGTCAGTATTTCAAATACCAGCAGGGTCACCTATGGTAGACAGGTTTCAACAGAGCTTCCAGACTAAGACAGACTAGGAAGAAAGGCCTGGTGATCTACTTATGAAAATTAGCCAATGAAAACTCTATGGATCAAAACAGAACATTGTCCAATACAGTGCTGGAAGATGAGCTCCCTAGGCGGGAAGGCACTCAAAATACATAGCGACCGCAACAATAGACTCAAGCATACCAACAATGGCAAAGATGGTGCAGGACCAGGCAACATTTTGTTCTGCTGTGCATGGGGTTGCCATGTGTTGCAGCTGACTCAATGGCAACTAACAACAACAAAATCCAGGGAGATTTTCTCCACAGCAGATCAGAAAATGGAGAGGATAGATGCCATCCACAAGTGATAAGCGTCTCTCGCTCTGACATACCTCCGGAATGAGTTTCAGTAAATCAGGAAGATAACGAATCTCCTTTTAAACACCAAGATGGGTGTCCCTTGAAGGATCAGAACTTACTGGTGTTTTCAGTTTCAATAATTAAAAGCTCATTTCTGAAGAAGATAGCATAAAATATTCTTAAAAACAGAAGGTGTGGCTTAGGGTGCAGTTTCTCAAGGTCAGACTGTGGAATGTGCAGGAAGAGGAAATGGATTGACTAGCCCAGCCTTAGCCACCAACTGGTCTGGCCACCATTATTCTTAGACATCAAAGACCACCATCTTGAGTGCCTTAGAGCTTGGGAATGTTTTCTCCAGAATACAGACAGGAAATTCTGGCTGTTTTCTCAATTATTTCTTTTAACCACTTTTTCCCCCTATTATGTTTTCTAATAAAATCCATTTTCCTATTGTCTTTTTGGTTCATTGTTTTGTAACTAGAATTGATTTTTCTTTTTATTTTTTTAAGTCACTAAAGTACTACAAATGCCAGCTGCCACCACCCACTCCTGACTTCTCCTTGGTATGGTATGACTGAGCGGAAGCAAAGGAGGAAAGTGTTTAACCCTCAGGCCCAAAAGCTTCTTTCTGCTTTTCAAATAAAATGAAATCTGTAGGAGGACATTTAGAATGACTTTAGGCAGACAGAAAATTAAGAGGCAATTTAGATTTTTTTTTAAAGAAACTAAATTATTTCCATTATTAAATAAATGTATTTTAGCAATAAATACAATAGTGTGTAGTTCAGCAGAAAAGATTTGAGGTGAGAGGAATGTCATTATCCTCTGCATTTTAAAGATTGGCAAATTATACGATCTGATGGTCAGTGTCCCCAGGAAAACTTAGTTTCAGGGAATAGGAAAGCAGGGGCCACAGCTTCTCACTGTTTCCACAAGAGAATCCGGAATTTGGGGAGCTAAGTTCTTCCTTATGGAAGTGGCTGATATTATGAGTTAGGTCGAGCTTGAGAGTAAAATCACATGGAGCCCACAACTGTGACTAGAGAGAGTACTGCATTTATTCCCCAATACTTGGCATGATTTCAAGTGGAAGGCATAGCAGCAAAGAAAATGAATGCTGATGCTTGTCACACATTCCATGGTTCACATTATGACTATTTCCATCATCTTACCTTAATACTTGAGGTAGGTATTCAAATCTTGTGATTGGCAGGAAAAAAACAAATTTACCCTAATTTACATCCTTCTCAATTTACGTCCATCTCTGAGCTTCAGTTTTCTTATTAGTAAAAAAGAAAACAAATAAACAAACAAAAAACCCCAATAATACTCACCTTATAGACTTGTGAGGATAAAGAAAATCACAATGAATAATTTCCTGACCCAGTGGTTATTAAACATTAGACTATTAAAGCAAAGTAAGTATGATGCATGCTAAGCTTTTACCATCATCTCTGGCATGTAATAAGCATCCAATAAGTAATAAACCCCAAAAATCAAACCTGTTGCCATGAAGTCAATCCTGACTCATAGCAACCCTACAGGACAGAGTAGAACTGCCCCATAGGGTTTCCAAGGTGCAACTGGTAGATTCGAACAGCCGACCTTCTGCTTTGCAGCTGGAACTCTTAACCACAGCACCACTTGGGCTCCCAAAAGTGATAGCTACTGTTACATTATTATCACAGAAGAGAACCCCATTGTCCAATTAAATGTTAGCCCAGGTAACAGGAGGAGGCCATGGAGGACTTTGGCCTTCTGAGTTAAGCCACTCGGTCAAGTGTTTTTAAAACAGAATGCATGTTCCAGGAGAAGAGACGGTAAGAAAGCCTGTCACTGAAATAATAGCAGCCAGTGAGTAAAGCACTGACACCCATTCCACCAGGAAGACTGGGGGTGGGCAGTGCAGCCTGATGCAGCACTTGGCATGTCTGTAGAAATGTGCTTCTTTTTTTCTTTTTCCTTTGAATACACTTTATTCTTTAGAGCAGTTTTAGGTTTATAGAAAAACTACAGAAAGTACAGGGAGTTCCCTATACTTCCTATTCCCTCACACACAGCTTCTGCTATTAACATCTTACGTTTGTTATAATTAATGAACCAATATTGATACATATTATTAACTCAAGTCCACAGCTGACGTTAGGGCTCGCTCTTTGCGTTGGGTTTTGGCAAATGCATGTCACGTGTCTACCATTACAGTATCATCCAGAATAGTTTCACTGCCCTTTCTCTCCTTTTCCTCTCTTATTCATTTTCTTGTGAGTTATCACATTAGATTGAACCTGCTTACGGTGAGTTCACAGACTGAAACATACGTTATGCATTACCTACTTTTTCTTCTATAGAGAGTAAAACAAACCAGTTGCCATGGAGTCAGTTCTGACACATGGCAACTCCAGGTGTATCAGAGCAGAACTGTGTTCCGTAGGGTTTTCAGTGGCTGATTTTTTGGAAGTAGATCAGCAGGTCATTCTTCTGAGGAGCCTCTGGGTGAACTAAAATTACCAACCTTTTGGTTAGCAACCAAGTGTGTTAACTGTTTGCACAACCCAGAGCCTCCTTATAGATAGTAACCAACCAAACAAACAAACTCATTGCCGTTGAGTCGATTCTGACTCATAGCGACCCTATAGGACAGAGTAGAACTGCCCCACAGGGTTTCCAAGGAGTGGCTGGTGGATTCAAACTGCTGACCACTTGATCAGCGGCCAAGCTCTTAACCATTGCACCACCAGGGCTCCTGAGAGATAGTAGTCATTATTAAATAAATGCAAATTAAGGTATTTTTGAGCACTAATAATATAAGTAACATATCAAAAGGTAGGTTAATTAAATTCTCTAAACAACCCCTAGAGAGCCCAGTGTTTGACTCCTGTGCATGCTGTTCCCTCTGCCAGGAACACTGCATGCCATCCTCGAGTTTGCCCAGGTAACACCTACTCATCCTTCAGGTCTCATCATAAATATTATTTCCTCTAAAAGGCCACCTGAGACTCAACACTGAGTTAGGATTCCCCTCCTCTATATGCTTCATGCATCCTTTATCACCAACCTTATTCGACATTTTTGAAGTTGCCGGTTTACTCATCTGTGTCTTCAGTATGAACCTATGGACCACAAAGGGAGAGAGTGTGAGCCTTGACCTCATTGACAGCCTGGTACATGCAGGCTGTGTGGTTGTCATTAGTGGTATTCACAAATATCTCTGGCTCTCTGCCTCCTTAGGCTCATGGTAGGACTATATTTCCTGGCTCTCATTCTTTCTGTAGGGCGTGCAATGTACTCTAGTCAGCTGGGAGTGGAGCGAAGTGTATCACATCTGGGCCAGAATATTTAATTGTAGTGCCAGACCCTACTGGTTTCTCCTTTCCCCTGATGTTGGGACCAGAAACTCTCCAGATGGTGGTTGCTCTGTCAGTCTGGATCCTGGACTGAGGACGACACTGGCACAGGCCCTAGTTGACCCGTAATGGACACAGAGCGTGAGCCAGAAACAAATCCTTGTCATGGCAGACCACTGAGATACTCGTGATGTCTGTCACTAGCATAACTTAGCCCATCTTGATACATGAAGTCCATTAATATTGTTGAATAAATAAATGAAGAAATAATGCTCTAACCTCTCTATCTGCTTGAATAGCATTGAGAGAGGTTCTAATCCATCGCCTCTCATTTTTTTCTTAAAATTTCTAAAGATGCCCAGGGGTACATCTGGATGTTTCATTAAGTCTTGGTTAGGAAATCTTTTGTATCTAACAAGGGAGGTGACAGGTTGGAGAGTCCTTGGCAATACTGAAGGTTCTTCTTTCATTCTTGTGGCCAGGCCACTGGTAACCTCAAGCTCAGTGGAGGGCTGACTGTTACCATTGCTGAGGTAGGTGGGCGCCCACTGCTTTTCCCATCCACTCTTCCCTTAGTTTCTGTTCTTTCCACACACTCACACACACCCACCCCCCCGACACACACCCACGTACTCACACATACACACACACTCACTTCCCTCTCCCTATGCTGCAAAATAAGCAAAGCCTCCATGATGATTAAGGCAATAGTCCCCATATCATTTCATTATTGGCTCTAATCATCTATGTCTTTGGGTAAAACATTTATCATTTCCAAGTATTGGTTTCTTATTTAGCAGGTCATTGTGAGACCTGAAAGAGGTAATATATGAGAAACAAAGTAGCATATCCAAGTAGTAGCCACATCCTGTGGTGTGTGATTTGAAGGGAACCAGAAAGCATAACTGCCCTCAAATTGCCACCATTTCTTTGTATTAGTGTCTCTGAAAGGCCTTTATGAAATTTAAGTATGTCATTGGACTGAAATGGATTCAGTTAATCCATTATTGCCCAAATATATCTGCCAGCTAATACAATCCTGAGAGTGCTGGAACACAAGGTAAAAATGTTGTGATGGGATGGGGGGTGCTGCAATAGATTCCCTGGACAGGTCAGGGCAGACTGAAGGCCACGGACACTCCGGGGTGGGTTACTGACGGGGAAGGAGGTGACAAAGTCAACAATAACTATTTTAGTTTTATCTAGGGGCAGTGCAGCTATTTTGCATGGCTGAGCAACCATCAGACAATACTCAGGCATCTCTGGAAGAAGCATTAGCCCATTCCGGGCACATAGCAACTTACTGAGTAGTTCCATTATTGCCAAACAAAGCCATACTTGATGAATAACTGAGAGACTGAAAGAAACTGGTTCTTTATTTAAGAAGTTCAACCGAAGTTTAAATAATTAAAAGAAAATGTTTTGAGAATCTTCTTCTGTCCTTACCCCATACCAATGAAAATTAGAAAAAGTTTTTAAGTTTCATAATGAAAGTGATAGAGACAGACGAGGGAGATTTTTCTTTTTTCCATTTTTCTTTCAGTAGAAAAAAAATAGTATTCTATTTCTGCTCTTCTAAATATATTTAACCAGAGAGGTTAAGCTCAAATCACTGGCTGCTTGACGAAAATATATAAAGGGGCAATAAATAATGTTTGTTTATAGAAAGGGCACCATTATCACAAGATTAAACAATGTGTCACTTTATTCAACGCTTGTCATTTTTTACTAGCTATTCCTTAACAACCTGGCAAGGTATATATCCAAGTTACAAGTTAAGCTACTGATATCCTCTAGGTAAAAAGGTGATCTTGGGAAAGAGTTTGATTTCTAAAGTCTTCTATATTACCAAGTCCGTGGATAAAAATAGGATAGGGATAAGAATAACCTTATGCCAGATTCTCATTCTTTAAATGATGTCAGACTTTTGGAAACACATTGCTTCCATTATTATGAAAAATACAGGCAGAAAGACATTATTGTGTGGTCCAAAGGTAGGAACCTGGAATAATATTTGACCACGTGGCTCTGTGTAAAACAAGTTTGTGTTTGTTTCCCAGCTGAGGTGTGAGAGGAAAGGCACATTCATGAAGACACTGAAATCAAAGACTGAGAAGTAATCACCTTTCTACCATTAAAGGGTAAAATGTCTGAATAATTAACACTGGTGCAAAAAAACCCTTGCAAGGAGATTTGAGGCTTGTTCCAGCCCTTGATGGGAGAAGCATTAACTCTAAGATAATGCACCAGAGGATGGCATTCCCCGAAATCAATGGTAACTTCCAGTCCGTACTCAACTATTGATTCTTTATTGTACCAGGATAAGTCATTTTAAATGACCTCAGCAAATTAGAACAAAATTGTAGATTCACCTCCACAAACACTTAGCTGTTTCTCCCACGATCACACTGTTGAAATAATGTACTTTCTAAACAAAGAAGAAACTAAGCCGAATAGATAACCCAAGTTTCACTTCATAAGAAGCCAAATATCTTTTCACCACCTGTGCTGGAAATCTCTCCACTCTTCCCCATATTGTTCTGGGCCCTGGGAGGCTGACTGAAATCGACTAATGCAATAAGTTCCCTTGCCCTCCAGCTTCCTGTTGGGGTTGGCCAGTGGGGTCAATGGGGCCAATGGGGCAGGAGTGGGCTGTGGAGTTGCAGCTCCTCATCCAAGGTCTTAGCTCCTGTCAGGGAGCTCTCTCTACACAGCCTTTCTGTGTCTGGGTTCTAGTTTCCTCAACTTCTCAGGCCTGGGGGTGGGAAAAGGCCCTACCATTACTACCTCTTGCTGTTCCGCTCACCTTGCTCCATCTTTGTAAAGATTCCCTTTGTTACATGTTTCTCAAACTACCTTAATTTGAGTCTGCTGTGTGGTCTGTTTCCTGGTGCCTGAGACCATGACTGATAGTTCATTTGAAATTGAAAAATCTTACTTTCCAGGGCATATCTTGGTGATTCAGAAAATGGGAGAAAAATAAGCTGAGACAGGAAAACAAACAAACTTGATTCATGTTCTACCTTTCATAGTTAGAAGGCGTGCCACTTTTAGTTCTTGAGATGTGGAAGAACCCTTATGGGGCTTGGAATGGTGACTGGACTCTGTGCTTGGATGAGTGGCGGGTCAGGTTTTCTGATACTCTCTAGCTCATATCAGTGGGCACGCCTCCTCTGTGTTCCATTTGTATTCTGAGAAATGCAGACTAAAAAACAAAAATCCAACCAACCCAACCAAACAAGAAAGCTGTGCTTGAAGATCAATGAGGAAATAACCAGGTAGTTAGGGAGAAGAGAAATATGGGGGCAATTAGGAGGCTCTTTCAGAATATATAGGGCATCCACCAACCATTCTTTGTCCATCCTGGGCTCTTAAGAATTTAAACTGTAGCACAAGGAACCTACTAGAAATGTAAAAAAGAGCTACTTTCTGTCTGTTAAGGTTATTATCTTTTAAAATACTTAAGTAGGTTAGTAAGGAAAGCTGTGAAATTACTTTCTCTGGATGTTTTTGAAAGTTAAGTCGTTACCTCTTTGGGATGCTTTAGCTCTGACTCTCTCTGAAGGCAAGGCTTGACATTAAATAACCTCTCAAGGTCCCTTCTTAGTCCATAAAGCACTAATCAGAAAGCACCACCATTTACAAGGTAAGGTGTGGAATGGGATACTAGGGTGGTCTTAAACAAAGAAGCCTGCCAGGAGTGCATTCAGCAGAGGACCAGGTGCACAATGAGCAACACACACCCTAAACATACACAGATTCTTGAACAGAGATTGGAGCTATGGGCAACACAACAGCAAAGCAGTTTAATGTCTTAAAAATGTTTTTGAGAAGTATGTGATTGTAAAGCAATGAGACCCAATCATTATTTTAACAAACTTCTGACCACTTTGCCTATCACTCTGCTTCAAAGGGGGCTTCGTATCATACAAAAATGATAAGCATATTTTTTATTATGCTTTAGACAATGGAAAGACAGGTCAAGGTTTATTTTCCTTACTCGTGGAGTGTTGAGCACAGAACTGTGCACAGATGGGAACAATATGATTTAGGAGATGGTGAGCAAAGCTAGAAATCCCTGTGTCTATATGCAAGAGGGGAGACTTGGCACCATGACACTAACTGGTAATTTACGTCTCTGAGGCAATGAAGCAACAATCCTGATGCCTGAAGGATTCACAGTCACCTCCGAGGAAAGGCATTTTATTCAATACGGGTCACCTGTTGACTGCACTTATTTATTTTTTTACTTTTTTTTCTGTAATTGTGGTTGGTGGTTTGAAACCAACAGTTAGAGCCAGAATCCATGATGCACTTCAACCTACAGATCCATAACCAAGTATCAATATTTAGCTATTCAATCAGGGCTACACATTATTTTTAATTGTGGAAAGTCAGGACATTAGCTAGTGGAGGAGAGAAGGCTCAGAGTCTTCAGAAGGCTTTTCGGCTCATTTCAATGATTCCCCTATCCCTGCCCAGCAGACACAAGCCCCACTGGTCAGTGCAGGATGCCTATGGCAGGCATCATCATCAGTCCTCTTACGGGGAAACACCGGCCCCATTGCTACACCTTCTCCCCAATCAGAAGTTCTCAGTCTGACTCTTTTCCTTTCTATTTCCAGGAGGCTCAGTGTCTTGCTGCCAGTGGTGTCACTAGCTGGGTGTGGGGGGTATGGACTGCATTGGGTAACACTTTTAGAGGGAGTGACACCAAAATGACTGTCTATAAAATTTTTGTGCAGTGTTTCAGCAAAAATTTATTT